ACAATGACCGTAGCAATAAGACTGTTGTAAGTCAATGTTAAGATGTGCGTGTCACAATCATCTAAGCGCTAAGACTGTTGTAAGTCAATGTTAAGATGTGCGTGTCACAATGACCGTAGCGCTAAGACTGTTGTAAGTCAATGTTAAGATGTGCGTGTCACAATCACCTCAGCGCTAAGACTGTTGTAAGTCAATGTTAAGATGTGTGTGTCACAATAATCTAGGCGCTAAGACTGTTGTAAGTCAATGTTAAGATGTGCGTGTCACAATCATCTAAGCACTAATAATGTTGTAAGTCAATGTTATGATATGCGTGTCACAATGACCGTAGCGCTAAAACAGTTGTAAGTCAATGTTAAGATGTGCGTGTCACAATGACCGTAGCGCTAAGACTGTTGTAAGTCAATGTTAAGATGTGCGTGTCACAATGACCGTAGCGCTAAGACTGTTATAAGTCAATGTTAAGATGTGCGTGACAATCACAATGACCGTAGCACTAAGACTGTTGTAAGTCAATGTTAAGATGTGCGTGTCACAATCATCTAAGCACTAAGACTGTGTTGTAAGTCAATGTTAAGATGTGCACAATGACCGTAGCGCTAAAACAGTTGTAAGTCAATGTTAAGATGTGCGTGTCACAATCATCTGAGCGCTAAGACTGTTGTAAGTCAATGTTAAGATGTGCTTGTCACAATCACCTCAGCGCGAAGACTGTTGTAAGTCAATGTTAAGATGTGCGTGTGTCACAAGTGACCGCGTGTCACAATGACCGTAGCACTAAGACTGTTATAAGTCAATGTTAAGATGTGCTTGTCACGATTACCTCAGCGCTAAGACTGTTGTAAGTCAATGTTAAGATATGCGTGTCACAATCATCTAAGCGCTAAGACTGTTATAAGTCAATGTTAAGATGTGCGTGTCACAATGACCGTAGCAATAAGACTGTTGTAAGTCAATGTTAAGATGTGCGTGTCACAATCATCTAAGCGCTAAGACTGTTGTAAGTCAATGTTAAGATGTACGTGTCACAGTGACCGTAGCGCTAAGACTGTTGTAAGTCAATGTTAAGATGTGCGTGTCACAATCACCTCAGCGCTAAGACTGTTGTAAGTCAATGTTAAGATGTGTGTGTCACAATAATCTAGGCGCTAAGACTGTTGTAAGTCAATGTTAAGATGTGCGTGTCACAATCATCTAAGCACTAATAATGTTGTAAGTCAATGTTATGATATGCGTGTCACAATGACCGTAGCGCTAAAACAGTTGTAAGTCAATGTTAAGATGTGCGTGTCACAATGACCGTAGCGCTAAGACTGTTGTAAGTCAATGTTAAGAAGTGCGTGTCACAATGACCGTAGCGCTATGACTGTTATAAGTGAATGTTAAGATGTGCTTGTCACAATGACCGTAGCACTAAGACTGTTGTAAGTCAATGTTAAGATGTGCGTGTCACAATCATCTAAGCGCTAAGACTGTTGTAAGTCAATGTTAAGATGTGCGTGTCACAATGACCGTAGCGCTAAGACTGTTGTGACCGTAGCGCTAAGACTGTTGTAAGTCAATGTTAAGATGTGCGTGTCACAATCACCTCAGCGCTAAGACTGTTGTAAGTCAGTGTTAAGATGTGCGTGTCACAATGACCGTAGTGCTAAGACAATTATAAGTCAATGTAAGGATGTGCGTGTCACAATGACCGTAGCAATAAGACTGTTGTAAGTCAATGTTAAGATGTGCGTGTCACAATCATCTAAGCGCTAAGACTGTTGTAAGTCAATGTTAAGATGTACGTGTCACAGTGACCGTAGCGCTAAGACTGTTGTAAGTCAATGTTAAGATGTGCGTGTCACAATCACCTCAGCGCTAAGACTGTTGTAAGTCAATGTTAAGATGTGTGTGTCACAATAATCTAGGCGCTAAGACTGTTGTAAGTCAATGTTAAGATGTGCGTGTCACAATCATCTAAGCACTAATAATGTTGTAAGTCAATGTTATGATATGCGTGTCACAATGACCGTAGCGCTAAGACTGTTGTAAGTCAATGTTAAGATGTGCGTGTCACAATGACCGTAGCGCTAAGACTGTTGTAAGTCAATGTTAAGATGTGCGTGTCACAATGACCGTAGCGCTAAGACTGTTGTAAGTCAATGTTAAGATGTACGTGTCACAATCATCTAAGCACTAAGACTGTTGTAAGTTAATGTTATGATAAGCGTGTCACAATGACCTTACCTCTAAGACTGTTGTAAGCCTTTGTAAAGGTAGGCACGTCACAATCATCTTACCGCTAAGACTGTTGTAGTCTTTGTAAAGGTAGGCATGTCAGATAAGACAACTTGTTCGTCAACCTCCTCAGTCTCCAATCCCTTGGTGGAACTTGGCTGGGCGCTGCAAAAGGAGTGGGTATACTCCCTCATACTCCCTCCCTGTGAGAGATTTATAGCCAGTAACCTTTGTCGAACGAATGAATATTTGACAGAACAATAAATAGGTCTGTTCCTTCTGACTTCCGCACCACTTGGACTGCCGGTTGAATGGGCTTTCAAAGTGAACAATGACTTGGCTATTTTGTAACACGAATATGACATGTTTCTTGCACATTTCGTGCAGTTAGGGCAATAACTGCATGGTTGCGTTTATTCGACCATTTAACACACTCTAATTTTCTCATAATACACTCTCAACTGTCTCAATTCCAAAAATGCATTCTCAAGACCACAAATGAAACAAGTCCATGTCACAATGAATGCCGAGTTTACTGGACAGCTACAGAGATCCATTTACAATTATTCGTCAACAAAGTTTACAATTACGTTTTAGAGCATGTTGCAATCATTTATAGCAGTACATGAATATGAAACACATCAATGATACACATGGTCAGTACTAAGTACGATGCTCGTTTCAAGGTAACCAAGGTGAGTCAAAGGTTTCCACCTGACTGAATATACAGTATAGCTGACCTGCTCCAGTACATAGAGTGTCACAAAGGATGATACTGTAGTCGTCATGCTAAAAGGTAAACAGCGTAATAACGTTAAGTAGAACAAATCTGTAGCGAAAATGCTGTATTTTCAAACATGTATAACCCGTCCACAAATAGACTTTAGTACATGAATTTTTGCATCTGTTTAAAGATTTTTAAAAAATGCAAAATGCTTATACGTTTCTTTTTTGAGATAGTATATTATACTCAATGAAAATCGGCTATACCTTCTTAAGACTATTTAGCAAAAATCGACGTAAAAATGTTTTGTATATCTTTATTCTCTTTTTTTTGTTTGTTCTTCCCGTGAATTATTTATTGAAACTGGCAGGTATGCAGGTATACAAATAGAAAACAGAATATGTCAATTATGTAAGATTAATACTGTAGAGGATGAATTACATTTCCTTCTAATCTGTCTTGTTTATACGACTCTACGAACGAATTACCACCTAAAGCCATGCTAATATAAGCATCCAAGTGCAAGAACATTAATTTCATTGTTAACAAAGACTACCACATCACTATTACAGAATCTGGCAATTTACATCTATTTCACTATGAATTTAAGAAAAGGGATTGTTATAGAAAAGAATTTGTGAGTGACTCGTGACTACTCGTGTAAACTTTAAACGTACTACAGGCCTGTGGCCTTTCTAAGTACTGAGTAAAGATCGATTAAAGAGATATCGGCCATGGATTGTCTCCGATGTTCGTTCTCTATTTAAAGAAGATATAATAAATATAAATTTCGTAAGACATGTAAAATGGCCAAAGAAAATATACTCTCCCAAAAAAGAAACGCATATAGGAATTTCAACTGTATTTTTATGTTGATTTTGAAACATCTTGTAGGCTTTATGAGTCAATGAAATATAGCGAAATTCGTTCACGTCGACTTCTGTACACCCGCATTCTTCAATCGCGTCGTTCCAATAGAAATCGTGATTCATCACTGAACTAGATTCTACGCCAATACGGTAGGTTCCAGGCCTGAACGTTGGTGCACCATTGAACTCGATGTCGGCGATATTGTTGTCGAAGCACAGGGCCAAGATAAGGTCTTCTGGTACGTTAACCAGCCTCTCTCAACCTGTTCCTGACGGTCTGTGCAGAAAGCCTCCTCAATCCAGGTATTTGTCGAGCGGTACTGGTCGCCGTAGCTGTTCGATGACGCAGGTGATGTACCCGGATGTAGTGACCCTCGATGTCGCCCACTACGAGGGACATCTGCTACCGAATTCTGCCGTCAATATCTCTCCCAGAGCCGTGAAATGATGCTTTGGTGAACATTCATGCGTCGGGCAACTGCACGTTGAGACTGGCCAGCTTCAAGCAAACCAATGGCGATATGACGGTTGGCTTCACTTAGACGTGCATTTTGCGTTAGTCAACAATATTCCAAATACAGTGAATAATCGACAGACAGCTATCAACCTTTCATACCCATCATTGAGACTATCTGATCCCCAACTTTCACGTGCATTGCATGTGAATTGTGTATTCTGTGACACTACACGCCGAAATTGAAAATCATGCAGTTAAAATACGGGTATTTTACGGATGGTGCGTTTTGTTGTGATGTTTCAAAACATAAACACCATAGGACTCATAAACAGAGAAAAACCTTTTGTAAAATGAATCACGTTTTAATTCATTGCCACATGAAATTGCTATTTTCATGATGCGTTTCTTTTTTGGGAGAGTATATATCTATGTACACACAGGAAAAAGTCGTAAAAAACAGCTTACAAATGCTAAAATGATCCATATTATGCATATGGTTAACCCAGCCTCGGCCAAGTTCAGGTTGTGACGTCATACTGGTGAGACGTCTGTTGTTTCTTTTGTTCACAAAACATTCATCTTCATGGCGAGGACCTTATTTATCCGTTATGCTCGGTATTCAGTAGACGCGATATGAGATATTGATTTTGCTAAGGTGTTAACGAGTTAAGGTATATGACCTTTGTCCTTTCTACATTATGATGTCTCAGTCAAGTCATGCCCTGTACAGGAGACGTATGGCGAATGCCCTTATCTCACCGGTGTCTACGCAACTCAGTTTGTTCACGGTCTCCAAGGCAACCACGAACGCTTCATCCGGGCTAACGCAGGGTGTAAACATTTTGATGCCTATGGTGGACCTGAAAATATTCCCATTGATCGACATGTATTCAATGCCAAGGTGAGTTACGTTTAATGTATACATCCTGCACTGCAATGTCATGCTGCACTGTAATATCATGATGCACTGCTTTGTCATGCAGCACTTTAGTGTCATGCTGCAACACAGTGTCATTCTGTCACTGTAATGTCATGCTGCACTTTAGTGTCATGCTGCAACAGTGTCGTTCTGTCACTGTAATGTCATGCTACACTTTAGTGTCATGCTGCAACATAGTGTCATTCTGTCACTGTGATGTCATGCTGCACTTTAGTGTCATGCTGCAACATAGTGTCATTCTGTCACTGTAATGTCATGCTGCACTTTAGTATCATGCTGCAACATAGTGTCATTCTGTCACTGTAATGTTATACTGCACTTTAGTGTCATGCTGCAACATAGTGTCATTCTGCCACTGTAATGTTATACTGCACTTTAGTGTCATGCTGCAACATAGTGTCATTCTGCCACTGTAATGTTATACTGCACTTTAGTGTCATGCTTCAACATAGTGTCATTCTGCCACTGTAATGTTATACTGCACTTTAGTGTCATGCTGCAACATAGTGTCATTCTGTCACTGTAATGTCATGCTACACTTTAGTGTCATGCTGCAATATAGTGTCATTCTGTCAATGTGATGTTATACTGCACTTTAGTGTCATGCTGCAATATAGTGTCTATCTGCCACTGTAGTGTCATGCTACACTTTAGTGTCATGCTGCAATATAGTGTCATTCTGTCACTGTAATGTTATACTGCACTTTAGTGTCATGCTGCAACATAGTGTCATTCTGCCACTGTTCTGTTATACTGCACTTTAGTGTCATGCTGCAACATAGTGTCATTCTGCTACTGTAATGTTATACTGCACTTTAGTGTCATGCTGCAATATAGTGTCATTCTGTCACTATAATGTCATGCTACACTTTAGTGTCATGCTGCAACATAGTGTCATTCTGTCACTGTAATGTCATGCTACACTTTAGTGACATGCTGCAATATAGTGTGATTGTGTTACTGTGATGTCATGCTACACTTTAGTGACATGCTGCAAGATAGTGTCATTCTGTCAATGTGATGTTATACTGCACTTTAGTGTCATGCTGCAATATAGTGTCATTCTGCCACTGTAGTGTCATGCTGCACTTTAGTGTCATGCTGCAATATAGTGTCATTCTGTCACTGTAATGTCATGCTGCACTTTAGTGTCATGCTGCAACATAGTGTCATTCTGTCAATGTAATATCATGCTGCACTTTAGTGATATGTTGCAACATAGTGTCATTCTGCCACTGTAATGTTATACTGCACTTTAGTGTCATGCTTCAACATAGTGTCATTCTGTCACTGTAATGTTATACTGCATTTCAGTGTCATGCTGCAACACAGTGTCATTCTGTCAATGTGATGTTATACTGCACTTTAGTGTCATGCTGCAATATAGTGTCATTCTGCCACTGTAGTGTCATGCTACACTTTAGTGTCATGCTGCAATATAGTGTCATTCTGTCACTGTAATGTTATACTGCTCTTTAGTGTCATGCTGCAACATAGTGTCATTCTGCCACTGTTCTGTTATACTGCACTTTAGTGTCATGCTGCAACATAGTGTCATTCTGCCACTGTAATGTTATACTGCACTTTAGTGTCATGCTGCAACATAGTGTCATTCTGTCACTGTAATGTCATGCTACACTTTAGTGTCATGCTGCAACACAGTGTCATTCTGTCACTGTAATGTCATGCTACACTTTAGTGTCATGCTGCAACATAGTGTCATTCTGTCACTGTAATGTCATGCTACACTTTAGTGCCATGCTGCAATATAGTGTGATTGTGTTACTGTGATGTCATGCTACACTTTAGTGACATGCTGCAAGATAGTGTCATTCTGTCAATGTAATGTCATGCTGCACTTTAGTGTCATGCTGCAATATAGTGTCATTCTGTCACTGTATTGTCATGCTGCACTTTAGTTATATGTTGCAACATAGTGTCATTCTGCCACTGTAATGTTATACTACACTTTAGTGTCATGCTTCAACATAGTGTCATTCTGCTACTGTAATGTTATACTGCATTTCAGTGTCATGCTGCAACACAGTGTCATTCTGTCACTGTAATGTCATGCTTCACTTTAGTGTCATGCTGCAACATAGTGTCATTCTGCCACTGTAATGTTATACTACACTTTAGTGTCATGCTGCAACATAGTGTGATTCTGTCACTGTAATGTCATACTACACTTTAGTGTCATGCTGCAACAAAGTGTCATTCTGTCACTGTAATGTCATGCTCCACTGTAGTGTCATGCTCCTCTGAAGTGTCTAAGGTAGTACCATGTGTCATGCTGCACTTTAGTGTCATGCTCCACTGTACTGTCATGTTCAAAGGTAGTGTCATGCTCCACTGTAGTGTTATGTTCCAAGTTAGTGTCATGCTCCACTGTAGTGTCATGCTCCACTCTAGTGTCATGCTCCACTGTAATGTCATGCTCCAATGTAGTGTCATGCTCCACTGTAGTGTCATGATCCATTGTAATGTCATGCTCCACAGTAGTGTCATGCTCCTCTTAAGTGTCTAAGGTAGTACCATGTGTCATGCTCCACTGTAGTGTCATGTTCCAAGGTAGTGTCATGCTTCTCTGTAGTGTCATGCTCCACTGTAGTGACATGCTTCAAGGTAGTGTCATGCTCCACTGTAATGTCATGTTCCATTGTAGTGTCATGCTGTCACTCTTATGTCATGCTCTGCTGTAATGTAATGCTCCACTGTAGTGTCATGCTCCGCTGTAATGTCATTCTCCACTGTAGTGTCATGCTTGAAGATAGTGTCATGCTCCACTGTAATGTGATGCTCCACTGTGGTGTCATGCTGTCACTCTTATGTCATGATCTACTGTAATGTCATGCTCCACTGTAGTTTCATGCTCCACTGTAATGTCATGCTCCACTGTAGTGTCATGCTCCACAGTAGTGTCATGCTCCACTGTAGTGTCATGCTCAACTCTAGTGCCATGCTCCACTGTAGTGTCACTGACCAAGGTCGAATGATGCTCTACTGTAATGTAATGCTCCACTGTAGTACTATGCTCCCCTGTAATGTCATGCTCCATTGTAATGTTATGCTCCATTGTAATGTAATGCTCCACTGTAATGTCATGCTCCATCGTAATGTTATGCTCCATTGTAATGTTATGCTCCACTGTAATGTGATGCTCCACTCTAGTGTCATGCTCCACTTTAGTGTCATGCTCCTCTTTAATGTCATGCTCCCCTCTGGTGTCCAAGGTAGTGCCATGTGTCAGGCTCCAAGGTAGTGTCATTCTCCACTGTAGTGTCATGCTCCTCTGAAATGTCTAAGGTAGTACCATGTGTCATGTTCAAAGGTAGTGTCATGCTCCACTGTAGTGTCATACTCCACCGTAGTGTCATGCTCCACAGTTATGTCATGCTCCACTGTAGTGACATGCTTCAAGGTAGTGTCATGCTCCACTGTAATGTCATGTTCCATTGTAGTGTCATGCTGTCACTCTTATGTCATGCTCTGCTGTAATGTAATGCTCCACTGTAGTGTCATGCTCCGCTGTAATGTCATTCTCCACTGTAGTGTCATGCTTGAAGATAGTGTCATGCTCCACTGTAATGTGATGCTCCACTGTGGTGTCATGCTGTCACTCTTATGTCATGTTCTACTGTAATGTCATGCTCCACTGTAGTTTCATGCTCCACTGTAATGTCATGCTCCACTGTAGTGTCATGCTCCACAGTAGTGTCATGCTCCACTGTAGTGTCATGCTCAACTCTAGTGCCATGCTCCACTGTAGTGTCACTGACCAAGGTCGAATGATGCTCTACTGTAATGTAATGCTCCACTGTAGTACTATGCTCCCCTGTAATGTCATGCTCCATTGTAATGTTATGCTCCATTGTAATGTAATGCTCCACTGTAATGTCATGCTCCATCGTAATGTTATGCTCCATTGTAATGTTATGCTCCACTGTAATGTGATGCTCCACTCTAGTGTCATGCTCCACTTTAGTGTCATGCTCCTCTTTAATGTCATGCTCCCCTCTGGTGTCCAAGGTAGTGCCATGTGTCAGGCTCCAAGGTAGTGTCATTCTCCACTGTAGTGTCATGCTCCTCTGAAATGTCTAAGGTAGTACCATGTGTCATGTTCAAAGGTAGTGTCATGCTCCACTGTAGTGTCATACTCCACCGTAGTGTCATGCTCCACAGTTATGTCATGCTCCACTGTAGTGTCATGCTCCACCGTAGTGTCATTCTCCACTGTAATGTCATATTCCACTGTAGTGACCTGCTTCTCTGTAGTGTCTAAGGTAGCATCATGTGTCATGTTCCGCTGTAATGTCATGCTCAACTGTAGTGTCATGTTCCAAGGTAGTGTCATGCTCCACTGTAGTGTCATGCTTCAAGGTAATGTCATTCTCCACTGTAATGTCATGTTCCAGTGTAGTGCCATGCTGTCACTCTTATGTCAGGCTCTACTGTAATATCATGCTTCACTGTAGTGTCATGTTCCAAGGTAGTGTCATGCTCCAATGTAGTTTCATGCTCCACTGTGGTGTCATGTTCCACTGTAATGTCATGCTCCACTGTAGTGTCATGCTCCACTGTAGTGTCATCCTCCACTGTAGTGTCATGCTCCACTGTAGTGTCATGTTGTTACTGTAATGTCATGCTCCAATGTAATGTCATGCTCCACTGTAGTGTCATGCTCCACTGTAATGCCATGTTCCAAGGTAGTGTCATGCTCCACTATAACGTCATCCGCCTCTGTAGTGTCATGTGCCATGCTCCAGTGAAGCGTCCTGTAAAGTGTCACTCTACTGCCTGATTAGTTTCATCTTATCTCCTGTTAAACGTCATCCTAGTTCCTGTAAGATGTCGCACTGCTGCCTGTAAAGTGTCATCCTCCTTCCTGTAAAGTGTCACTCTACTGCCTGATTAGTTTCATCTTATCTCCTGTTAAACGTCATCCTAGTTCCTGTAAGATGTCGCACTGCTGCCTGTAAAGTGTCATCCTCCTTCCTGTAAAGTGTCACTCTACTGCCTGATTAGTTTCATCTTATCTCCTGTTAAACGTCATCCTAGTTCCTGTAAGATGTCGCACTGCTGCCTGTAAAGTGTCATCCTCCTTCCTGTAAAGTGTCACTCTACTGCCTGATTAGTTTCATCTTATCTCCTGTTAAACGTCATCCTAGTTCCTGTAAGATGTCGCACTGCTGCCTGTAAAGTGTCATCCTCCTTCCTGTAAAGTGTCACTCTACTGCCTGATTAGTTTCATCTTATCTCCTGTTAAACGTCATCCTAGTTCCTGTAAGATGTCGCACTGCTGCCTGTAAAGTGTCATCCTCCTTCCTGTAAAGTGTCACTCTACTGCCTGAATAGTTTCATCTTATCTCCTGTTAAACGTCATCCTAGTTCCTGTAAGATGTCGCACTGCTGCCTGTAAAGTGTCATCCTCCTTCCTGTAAAGTGTCACTCTACTGCCTGATTAGTTTCATCTTATCTCCTGTTAAACGTCATCCTAGTTCCTGTAAGATGTCGCACTGCTGCCTGTAAAGTGTCATCCTCCTTCCTGTAAAGTGTCACTCTACTGCCTGATTAGTTTCATCTTATCTCCTGTTAAACGTCATCCTAGTTCCTGTAAGATGTCGCACTGCTGCCTGTAAAGTGTCATCCTCCTTCCTGTAAAGTGTCACTCTACTGCCTGATTAGTTTCATCTTATCTCCTGTTAAACGTCATCCTAGTTCCTGTAAGATGTCGCACTGCTGCCTGTAAAGTGTCATCCCTCCTTCCTGTAAAGTGTCACTCTACTGCCTGATTAGTTTCATCTTATCTCCTGTTAAACGTCATCCTAGTTCCTGTAAGATGTCGCACTGCTGCCTGTAAAGTGTCATCCTCCTTCCCTGTAAAGTGTCACTCTACTGCCTGAATAGTTTCATCTTATCTCCTGTTAAACGTCATCCTAGTTCCTGTAAGATGTCGCACTGCTGCCTGTAAAGTGTCATCCTCCTTCCTGTAAAGTGTCACTCTACTGCCTGATTAGTTTCATCTTATCTCCTGTTAAACGTCATCCTAGTTCCTGTAAGATGTCGCACTGCTGCCTGTAAAGTGTCATCCTCCTTCCTGTAAAGTGTCACTCTACTGCCTGATTAGTTTCATCTTATCTCCTGTTAAACGTCATCCTAGTTCCTGTAAGATGTCGCACTGCTGCCTGTAAAGTGTCATCCTCCTTCCTGTAAAGTGTCACTCTACTGCCTGATTAGTTTCATCTTATCTCCTGTTAAACGTCATCCTAGTTCCTGTAAGATGTCGCACTGCTGCCTGTAAAGTGTCATCCTCCTTCCTGTAAAGTGTCACTCTACTGCCTGATTAGTTTCATCTTATCTCCTGTTAAACGTCATCCTAGTTCCTGTAAGATGTCGCACTGCTGCCTGTAAAGTGTCATCCTCCTTCCTGTAAAGGTTGTAATAGGTAGTAATTCGTTTTAAAAAAACTGCTGTTATGTCTGAAAATCAAACAAATTTATAGATGTATATTGGAAATCCATCTAATACAGGAGGGTTGTTGTTTTTAATGATTTGACTGCAAATCTATTTTTCTCAGATCCAAGGTTTTTTTCCCCAATGTTTCACTCATTTGGCTATCAAGAGATGGAACTGTGATATTGTGTGTTCAGAATATTTCTTGCATCAACAGTAGCAGCACCAGAGGATATACTTGTATATAAATTGTCATAGAAAGGTTGTGTTCGTTGACTATTTCTTTACCATCAAAAGCTTCTTCTTCAGTGTCTTCGATAAGGGAATTCACTAAATTATTGGTATAGTGGCGGTTTTCCAGGTGGCAAAAGTACCTTCCACCTTCTCCACACCAAAGGGATCTAGGTTTAAAATCAAGATCTTTCATATACTCTTGTTTAATACTTTCGAGTTTTGATTTGTCTGATGACAAGTCAGTAAGGAAGTCTTTATTGATTACTTGAAAATGTTGTCCTTTTTCGTCTCCCTTTTCATTAACTTTGTTTTCCAACTGCAGAGTATCAGTATGTTCTTTCTGTTTAATATAGGTTGCGTAAGAAATGGTTTTGAATCTAACTTTCATGAGTTAAGTCTCCAAAACCAGTGGATCACTGATAGGAAGTTCTATGTTTTGGTCCTCAATGTCAGACTGGTCTTCTGAACTATAAATATTCTTCGCATATTCTAACTTAGTTTCTAAAAGAGTGTTTTTTTTACGATATCAGTGTATTCATATATTCTCAAAAGAGATGTGTTGAGTTTCCAGTGACCTTTTCCTCTATTCTTACTCAAAGAGTTACTTAGGGCCAGTGTATTAACCGAGTGATCGCATGTGTATCCTGGCTGAATATCAGAGGAAACTGTGAGATTGGCTAAATATCCAGAAACTAGGAAAAAATCGAGTCTTGACTGTTGTCTAGGTTTTGGATTCCACCATTTGTGTTTTCTATTTAAAGGATTAAGTTCCCTGCAGATTTCTTAAGTCATTGTTTTATATTTCGCTACTCACTTCATTACGTACTTTAGCGTTATTAATATTTCTGTAATTTTCAAGATCAACTGGTGGGTTTAAAACCAAGTTCCAGTGCCAAAGATTACTAAGGATTCGTTTTCAAAGTCATCAATATCAGCAAATGGAGTTGTAAAACGTGGGGTTTTCAGAATTTGGTCCATATAAATTAGCAAAAGTCAGTTTGTTAACCATAAGTAGTTATGTCAGCTATAATGTAATTACCCTGATTATCTTTCTTACTTTTATAGATCTGAATTTATTATTATTATTACATAAAATGGCAACGCCTCTGGCATAAGACTCAAATGGTGCAATAAATACTCTTAAGACCTCACTCGGTTCTCAGAGTAGATTCTAAATTTGGGAGATATAAATATCCTGAAGGCAAATAACTGATAACCTTTTTTCTCCAAATGTTCAAAATGTCTTTCCATTTCTGTGTTTCTGCAAAGCCATGTGTCCCCTTTCAAGTGAAGTGATGGCTTCTCCACATGTCACCTTTCAAGTCACCCTACTTATCGTGAAGTGACAGGCTTCTCCATGTGTCACCTGTCACCCTACGTATCTTCAGGGTTCTCCATGTGTCACCCTACGTATCGTGAAGTGACAGGGTTCCCCATGTGTCACCTTCTACGTATCGTGAAGTGACAGGGTTCTCCATGTGTCACCCTACGTATCGTGAAATGACAGGGTTCTCCATGTGTCACCCTACGTATCGTGAAGTGACAGGGTTCTCCATGTGTCACCCTACGTATCGTGAAATGACAGGGTTCTCCATGTGTCACCCTACGTATCGTGAAATGACAGGGTTCTCCATGTGTCACCTTTCATGTCGTTGCAGCATCAACGGTATACCGTCGTGTGCAAACAAACGCCTCCTGTCGGATGTACTGCGGAAGGAGTGGGGGTTTACTGGCTACGTGATCAGTGATCAGGGGGCGACAGAGCAGGTGATGACAGCTCACAACTTCACCAATAGCAGCGTAGACACGGCGGCAACCTGCATTGAGGCCGGTCTCAATCTGGAGATATCTGGCCGTAGTGAAGAACATCCAGTATTGATGTCCATGAGTAAATACAATTAGTATCACCATTTTAAGAACTACTGCATCTGCTAAATGCTGTCAGAATTACACAGTCGTATTGCTGTGCTCCAAATATACACTAACATTTACCGTTCATAAATCCTACATAAATATTCATCTAAACTAAACTCAATGGATGACCGAATTTGTTAATCACAGTACCTGCTAATCACAGTATTTGTTCATCACAATAATTGTGTGTTACTGATTTGCCAACTGGAACCATCATCCCCAGCTGTCCACCAAACAAGCATGTGTCTGTCCCCACATGACAGATCGCCGCCAACACTAACCCCATTGTACAAGTGTTCAGTGAGTCAATATGTCTTCCAGTCGAAGCAGTCCAACAAGGCAAACTGAGTGAAGACTTGGTCAGAGAGCGGGTAAAACCTCTCTTCTACACCAGAATGAGGCTTGGAGAGTTTGACCCACCGGAAATTAACCCTTATGCACAACTGAACCTGTCGGTAATAGAGTCACGTGACCACAGAGCCCTTGCCATTGAGGCAGCCATGAAGTCTTTTGTCCTGTTAAAGAACGAAGACAGTTTCCTGCCACTGAAGAAGAAGTACAACACACTAGCGGTAAGTCCACGCTGGCAGTCATTTATCACATCTAAACAATTTGACGTCACACACATTTGAAACGAAACAATTCCTCAAATGGCAACACATACAATCAGACCAGTGGAGAAACTGGGAGACATAGGGAATAGACCAGTGGAGAAACAGGGAGATAAAGACAATAGACCAGTAGAGAAACTGGGAGATACATACAATAGACCAGTAGAGAAACTGGGAGATATAGACAATAGACCAGTGGAGAAACTGGGTGACATAGACAATAGACCAGTGGAGAAACTGGGACATACAGACAATAGACCAGTGGAAAAACTGGTAGACATAGACAATAGAGCAATGGAGAAACTGAGACATACAGACAATAGAGCAGTGGAGAAACTGGTGGACATAGACAATAGACCAGTGGATAAACTAGGAGATATAGACAATAGAGCAGTGGAGAAACTGGGTGACATAGACAATAGACCAGTGGAGAAACTGGGTGACATAGACAATAGACCAGTGGAGAAACTGGGAGATACAGACAATAGACCAGTAGAGAAACTGGGAGATACAGACAATAGAGCAGTGGAGAAACTGGGAGATACAGACAATAGACCAGTAGAGAAACTGGGAGATATAGACAATAGACCAGTAGAGAAACTGGGAGATACAGACAATAGACCAGTAGAGAAAATGTAAGAAACAGACAATAGACCAGTGGAGAAACTGAGAGCCATAGAGAATAGACCAGTGGAGAAACTGGTAGACATAGACAAATGACCAGTGAAGAAACTGAGACATACAGACAATAGACCAGTGGAGAAACTGGGAGACATAGACAATAGACCAGTGGAGAAACTGGGACATACAGACAATAGACCAGTGAAAAAACTGGTAGACATAGACACAGAGCAGAAAGTGGAGAAACCAGTAGACATACAGACAATAGAGCAGTGGAGAAACAACAAGGAGACATAGACAATAGACCAGTGGAGAAACTAGGAGATATAGACAATAGACCAGTGGAGAAACTGGGTGACATAGACAATAGACCAGTGGAGAAACTGGGTGATATAGACAATAGACCAGTAGAGAAACTGGGAGATACAGACAATAGACCAGTGGAGAAACTGGGAGATACAGACAATAGACCAGTGGAGAAACTGGGAGATATAGACAATAGACCAGTGGAGAAACTGAGAGATATAGAGAATAGACCAGTGGAGAAACTGGTAGACATAGACAAATGACCAGTGAAGAAACTGAGACATACAGACAATAGACCAGTGGAGAAACTGGGAGACATAGACAATAGACCAGTGGAGAAACTGGGACATACAGACAATAGACCAGTGGAAAAACTGGTAGACATAGACAATAGAGCAGTGGAGAAACTGAGACATACAGACAATAGAGCAGTGGAGAAACTGGGAGACATAGACAATAGACCAGTGGAGAAACTAGGAGATATAGACAATAGAGCAGTGGAGAAACTGGGTGACATAGACAATAGACCAGTGGAGAAACTGGACATAGACAATAGACCAGTGGAGAAACTGGGAGACACAGACAATAGACCAGTGGAGAAACTGGGAGATACAGACAATAGACCAGTAGTGAAACTGGGAGATATAGACAATAGACCAGTGGAGAAACTGGGAGATACAGACAATAGACCAGTAGAGAAAATGTAAGAAACAGACAATAGACCAGTGGAGAAACTGAGAGCCATAGAGAATAGACCAGTGGAGAAACTGGTAGACATAGACAAATGACCAGTGAAGAAACTGAGACATACAGACAATAGACCAGTGGAGAAACTGGGACATACAGACAATAGACCAGTGGAAAAACTGGGAGACATAGACAATAGAGCAGTGGAGAAACTGAGACATACAGACAATAGAGCAGTGGAGAAACTGGTAGACATAGACAATAGACCAGTGGATAAACAAGGAGATATAGGCAATAGACCAGTGGAGAAACTTGGCGACATAGACAATAGACCAGTGGAGAAACTGGGTGACATAGACAATAGACCAGTGGAGAAACTGGGAGATACAGACAATAGACCAGTAGAGAAACTGGGAGATACAGACAATAGAGCAGTGGAGAAACTGGGAGATACAGACAATAGACCAGTAGAGAAACTGGGAGATATAGACAATAGACCAGTAGAGAAAATGTAAGAAACAGACAATAGACCAGTGGAGAAACTGAGAGCCATAGAGAATAGACCAGTGGAGAAACTGGTAGACATAGACAAATGACCAGTGAAGAAACTGAGACATACAGACAATAGACCAGTGGAGAAACTGGGAGACATAGACAATAGAGCAGTGGAGAAACTGAGACATACAGACAATAGAGCAGTGGAGAAACTGGGAGACATAGACAATAGACCAGTGGAGAAACTGGGACATACAGACAATAGAGCAGTGGAAAAACTGGGAGTCATAGACAATAGAGCAGTGGAGAAACTGAGACATACAGACAATAGACCAGTGGAGAAACTGGGAGACATAGACAATAGAGCAGTGGAGAAACTGGGACATACAGACAATAGACCAGTGGAGAACCTGGGACATACAGACAATAGACCAGTGGAAAACCTGGGAGACACAGACGAATACGAGATAAGTAAGGCCCCACACATCTATGAGTACATACTGACATGTGGGGATACATAAACCTACAAACATCGGATATACAGTGTGAAATATATCTACTGATGCCTGATATGCAATGAGACATAGATCTGCAAATACATATAGTTGGGACACAGACCGTAAGATACCGAGTATGTAGATACACGTAGATCTTCCAAGACAGGATGTGCTCAGGTGTTGGTACACACACGGCTTCTGTTATCTGATGGGCAAAGGGCACATTAACCTACTTGTATTGGATATCCGGTTGACTGGCAAATAGTCCAGTCGGTTCTGTATTCAATGTACAATTGCCTTGAAAACATCAGCATTGAGTGACAGTGAATCGTATGCAGGCTGTTGGTCCGCTGGTGTTCCAAGGCAAAGCTACAATGGGAGGGTACGCCCCGGACACAGACCCCAGTTGGATGTCATTGACTGTCACGGGCTTGGCTGACCTGGCCACCCACATCCGGGCTGTAGAGGGATGCAGCTCCACCCCCTGCCTCAACTACAACAGTAGCGGCGTGGCCTGGGCAGTCACCGGGGCCGACATCGTCTTCGTCACGCTGGGATTGGGTGGGTCAAACAGTTTACACATCTACATTTTTATCTTTCAACTTGATGAAAAATACTCTGTGTACTGGTCAGCAACACATATAACCTTTGTCTTTGCATTTAACCAGGGCAGCAGTGACCCAAAAACATATCCAAGGATATACAAATAACACAACGAAAGCGTTAGCTAGGAAGGATAACAATATATGGATGAACAACTTCTTTATAACAGTGGGAGGGACGTATTGGTGGAGGTCCTAACACCGTTATCAAGCAAGTGATGAAAGCGATAGTTGTGTCACTATTTAGAGGCAGGGTGTTTTATAGGGTATTTTCCCGAAATGTCCCTCGGCGAAAACATAACAAGCGAACACATCTTAAACTTGTCGCTGTCCATAAGTTTCCTTTCCTGGTTCATCAGCGAGTGTTTGCTGCAGGTAGCGACCTGGAATCTGAAGGCAACGACAGACCAAATCTTCAACTACCTGAATACCAGTTCGAGCTCCTCGGCGATGCAGTGTACAAAAGTAGGAAACAAACCTGTTGGTTTATTTCAAGTCACGAGTTGGTATACAGCGAGGGACTGGGTTGTTTAAGACATCTTTAAACACGGATCCTGCTGATGACGCAAGCACTGGGGTCATTTTGTAGAGAACCGCCGTAACATATATGAAATGTAATACACTCAAATTACAGTATATGCTTTATATTATATACTATAAACTATATTTTGGCATAATCCCAAATACTGGGCAGGTGGTGATGCTCCTGTTGTCGTCCTTCTGTTCAACGCCGGACCCCTGAACATGACGTGGGCGATGGACCAAAGCCGAATCAAGGCTATCATGGAGGTATTCTATCCTGCCCAGGCCACGGGGGGAGGCGCTGAGAAGAGTGTTGAGCAACTCCGGCCCAGGCGCGGTACCCGCAGGGAGATTACCAAATACCTGGCCATTTATTGTTCAAAACTTTACTCGATGGAAGGTAAAAGTGTGATCGAAGTTTACTCAATTTAAGAAACAGTCATTGAAATTAAGAATTCAATTTAAATGGTGGCGAGTAACAGTTACAGGTTGTATGCTAGTTGTTTAACGCCGCACTCAACAATGTGCATGACGACGATCTGCAAATATTTGAATCTCCACCAGAAAATCCAGTGATCAAAAGCACGATTTACAAAAGTACGATACGATGACATGTGCCAACAAGTCAGCGAACCTGACCACCCGGCCCCGTAAGTCTCCTCTTGCGACAACTATAGGTTGCTGAAAACAAATTTTAACCCGGATCTTCAGGTGTCTCAGTTCAAACACAGCAATGTACAAACACCGCATGTCACACATGTCGTTCATTGTGGTTGAGTCCTAGTGTTTATTCTGTGTGTAATCCACCAGTTCCCCGCCATGACGGACTACTCCATGCATGGCCGCACCTACCGCTACACCAACACCAACATACTCTTTCCCTTCGGTTACGGGCTGTCTTACTCAAGGTTCCGGTACGCAGACATGGAGGTCAAGGACACAGTTCAGGCAGGTCAAGATGGCTGGGTCAAGGTCATGGTCGAGAATCTCGGACCGTATGATGCTGATGAGGTAACAGGATTTATTTGTGTTGATCGACCTGTCGATCTGATAAAATTGTTAAGGGTTTGTGTCTGGGTGTGAGGATCATAGCAAGACTGGAATAGCACGATTACATATGCCAGATTATCGACATAACATCAGGTTGGTAAAGAATATCCTGACTCATGTTGTTCCATTCATAAGTCACCGAGTTCATTCAGAGTAGTGGCTAGATTAAGCGTTGGCGTACACGTCTGTGCTGGGTGTATTCCATGGGGAAATGTCGGGAGAGTGTGTTGGCGTACACGTCTGTTCCTGGTATATTCCACGGGAGAAGGTCGGGAGAGAGCGTTGGTGTACACGTCTGTGCTAGGTGTATTCCATGGGGAAATGTCAGGAGAGTGTGTTGGCGTACACGTCTGTTCCTGGTATATTCCACGGGGGAAGGTCGGGAGAAAGCGTTGGCGTACACGTCTGTTCCTGGTATATTCCATGGGGGAAGAATGGGAGATAGCGTTGGCGTACACATGCCTGTTACAACAGTACTCTTACAACAGTTGCCTGTTACAACAGTACTCTTACAACAGTTGCCTGTTACAACAGTACTCTTACAACAGTTGCCTGTTACAACAGTACTCTTACAACAGTTGCCTGTTACAACAGTACTCTTACAACAGTTGCCTGTTACAACAGTACTCTTACAACAGTTGCCTCTTACAACAGTACTCTTACAACAGTTGCCTGTTACAACAGTACTCTTACAACAGTTGCCTGTTACAACAGTACTCTTACAACAGTTGCCTGTTACAACAGTACTCTTACAACAGTTGCCTCTTACAACAGTACTCTTACAACAGTTGCCTCTTACAACAGTTGCTCTTACAACAGTGCTCTTACAACAGTTGCCTGTTACAACAGTTGCCTGTTACAACAGTACTCTTACAACAGTTGCCTGTTACAACAGTACTCTTACAACAGTTGCCTCTTACAACAGTACTCTTACAACAGTTGCCTGTTTCAACAGTACTCTTACAACAGTTGCCTATTACAACAGTACTCTTACAATAGTTGCCTCTTACAACAGTACTCTTACAACAGTTGCCTGTTTCAACAGTACTCTTACAACAGTGCTTTTACAACAGTTGCCTGTTACAACAGTGCTCTTACAACAGTTCCCTGTTACAACAGTACTCTTACAACAGTACTCTTACAACAGATGGCTCTTACAACAGTACTCTTACAACAGTTCCCTGTTACAACAGTACTCTTACAACAGTTGCCTGTTACAACAGTACTCTTACTCTTACAACAGTTGTGTTACAACAGTACTCTTACAACAGTTGCCTGTTACAACAGTACTCTTACAAACAGTTGCCTGTTACAACAGTACTCTTACAACAGTTGCTCCTTACAACAGTACTCTTACAACAGTTGCTCTTTACAACAGTACTCTTACAACAGTTGCCTGTTACAACAGTACTCTTACAACAGTTGCCTGCTCTTACAACAGTTGCCTGTTACAACAGTACTCTTACAACAGTTGCCTGTTACAACAGTACTCTTACAACAGTTGCCTGTTACAACAGTACTCTTACAACAGTTGCCTGTTACAACAGTACTCTTACAACAGTTGCCTGTTACAACAGTACTCTTACAACAGTTGCCTGTTACAACAGTGCTCTTACAACAGTGCTCTTACAACAGTTCCCTATTACAACAGTACTCTTACAACAGTTGCCTGTTACAACAGTACTCTTACAACAGTTGCCTGTTACAACAGTACTCTTACAACAGTTGCCTGTTACAACAGTACTCTTACAACAGTTGCCTGTTACAACAGTACTCTTACAACAGTGCTCTTACAACAGTTGCCTGTTACAACAGTTCCCTTTACAACAGTTGCCTGTTTACAACAGTACTCTTACAACAGTTGCCTGTTACAACAGTACTCTTACAACAGTTGCCTGTTACAACAGTACTCTTACAACAGTTGCCTGTTACAACAGTACTCTTACAACAGTTGCCTGTTACAACAGTACTCTTACAACAGTTGCCTTACAACAGTACTCTTACAACAGTTGCCTGTTACAACAGTACTCTTACAACAGTTGCCTGTTACAACAGTACTCTTACAACAGTTGCCTGTTACAACAGTACTCTTACAACAGTTGCCTCTTACAACAGTACTCTTACAACAGTTGCCTGTTACAACAGTACTCTTACAACAGTTGCCTGTTACAACAGTACTCTTACAACAGTTGCCTGTTACAACAGTACTCTTACAACAGTTCCCTGTTACAACAGTACTCTTACAACAGTTGCAACAGTACTCTTACAACAGTACTCTTTCACAACAGTTGCCTGTTACAACAGTTGCCTGTTACAACAGTACTCTTACAACAGTTGCCTGTTACAACAGTACTCTTACAACAGTTGCCTGTTACAACAGTACTCTTACAACAGTTGCCTGTTACAACAGTACTCTTACAACAGTTGCCTGTTACAACAGTACTCTTACAACAGTTGCCTCTTACAACAGTACTCTTACAACAGTTGCCTGTTACAACAGTACTCTTACAACAGTGCTCTTACAACAGTGCTCTTACAACAGTTCCCTCTTACAACAGTACTCTTACAACAGTTGCCTGTTACAACAGTACTCTTACAACAGTTGCCTGTTACAACAGTACTCTTACAACAGTTGCCTCTTACAACAGTACTCTTACAACAGTTGCCTGTTACAACAGTACTCTTACAACAGTTGCCTGTTACAACAGTACTCTTACAACAGTTGCCTCTTACAACAGTACTCTTACAACAGTTGCCTGTTACAACAGTACTCTTACAACAGTTGCCTGTTACAACAGTTCCTCTTACAACAGTACTCTTACAACAGTTCTCTGTTACAACAGTACTCTTACAACAGTTGCCTGTTACAACAGTACTCTTACAACAGTTGCCTCTTACAACAGTACTCTTACAACAGTTGCTCTTACAACAGTTGCTCTTACAACAGTACTCTTACAACAGTTCCCTATTACAACAGTACTCTTACAACAGTTGCCTGTTACAACAGTTGCCTGTTACAACAGTTCCCTGTTACAACAGATGTCTCGTACAACAGTACTCTTACAACAGTTCCCTGTTACAACAGTACTCTTACAACAGTGCTCTTACAACAGTACTCTTAGAACAGTTTCCTGTTACAACAGTACAACACAACAGTGCTTTACAACAGTGCTCTTACAACAGTTGCCTCTTACAACAGTAGCTCTTACAACAGTTCCCTGTTACAACAGTACTCTTACAACAGTTGCCTGTTACAACAGTACTCTTACAACAGTTGCCTGTTACAACAGTACTCTTACAACAGTTGCCTTTACAACAGTACTCTTACAACAGTTGCCTCTTACAACAGTACTCTTACAACAGTTGCTCTTTACAACAGTTGCTCTTACAACAGTTGCTCTTACAACAGTACTCTTACAACAGTTGCCTGTTACAACAGTACTCTTACAACAGTTGCCTGTTACAACAGTACTCTTACAACAGTTGCCTTACAACAGTGTTACAACAGTGCTCTTACAACAGTACTCTTACAACAGTTGCCTGTTACAACAGTACTCTTACAACAGTTGCCTGTTACAACAGTACTCTTACAACAGTTGCCTGTTACAACAGTACTCTTACAACAGTTCCCTGTTACAACAGTACTCTTACAACAGTGCTCTTACAACAGTACTCTTACAACAGTTGCCTGTTACAACAGTACTCTTACAACAGTTGCCTGTTACAACAGTCTCTTACAACAGTACTCTTACAACAGTTGCCTGTTACAACAGTACTCTTACAACAGTTGCCTCTTACAACAGTACTCTTACAACAGTTGCCTGTTACAACAGTACTCTTACAACAGTTGCCTGTTACAACAGTACTCTTACAACAGTTGCCTGTTACAACAGTTGCCTGTTACAACAGTACCCTCTTACAACAGTTCTTTACAACAGTTTACTTACAGTTACAACAGTACTCTTACAACAGTTCCCTGTTACAACAGTACTCTTACAACAGTTGCCTGTTACAACAGTTCTTACAACAGTTGCCTGTTACAACAGTACTCTTACAACAGTTCCCTGTTACAACAGTACTCTTACAACAGTTGCCTGTTACAACAGTACTCTTACAACAGTTGCCTGTTACAACAGTACTCTTACAACAGTTGCCTCTTACAACAGTACTCTTACAACAGTTGCCTGTTACAACAGTACTCTTACAACAGTTGCCTCTTACAACAGTACTCTTACAACAGTTGCAGTACAACAGTACTCTTACAACAGTTGCCTCTTACAACAGTTACTCTTACAACAGTTGCCTGTTACAACAGTACTCTTACAACAGTTGCCTGTTACAACAGTACTCTTACAACAGTTGCCTGTTACAACAGTACTCTTACAACAGTTGCCTGTTACAACAGTACTCTTACAACAGTTGCCTGTTACAACAGTACTCTTACAACAGTTCCTGTTACAACAGTACTCTTACAACAGTTCCCTGCTTTACAACAGTTGCCTCTTACAACAGTACTCTTACAACAGTTGCCTCTTACAACAGTTGCTCTTTACAACAGTGCTCAGTACAACAGTTACAACAGTACTCTTACAACAGTTGCCTCTTACAACAGTACTCTTACAACAGTTGCCTGTTACAACAGTTTACAACCTGTTACAACAGTACTCTTACAACAGTTGCCTCTTACAACAGTACTCTTACAACAGTTGCCTCTGTTACAACAGTACTCTTACAACAGTTGCCTGTTACAACAGTACTCTTACAACAGTTCCCTGTTACAACAGTACTCTTACAACAGTACTCTTACAACAGTTACAACAGTACTCTTACAACAGTTCCCTGTTACAACAGTACTCTTACAACAGTTGCCTGTTACAACAGTTCTTACAACAGTTGCCTTACAACAGTACTCTTACAACAGTTGCCTCTTACAACAGTACTCTTACAACAGTTGTTCCCTG